TGGTGGTGGTGATGGTGGTGGTGATGGGCCTGGTGATGGTGGCCCGCCGAGGCCGTGGACAGGTCCTCCCCGACGTACTGCTGCCCGCGGAAGCCCTCGTAGGCCTGGTGGTGGTGGTGATGGTGGTGCGCGTTGCCGATGAGGGCCTCCACCGCGTCCTCCGGGGTCAGGTTGAGCGCCTCGGGGTTGATGTGGTGCTGGTAGCTGGGGATCCAGTACAGGTCCTCCAGCTGAGGCTTGCCCGCGTTGCTGTGATTGTTGTTGCCGCTGCTGTTGTTGCTGCTGCCGCTGCTGTTGACCCCGCTGGTGAGGCTCTGGTTGGGCTGCGCGCCCGGGCTCGGGGCGCAGAAGCTCGGCGAGGAAGGCACGGAGGAGCAGGGGGTGCTGATCGGGGTGGAGGACAGAGAGCCCGACGGGAGGCGGTGGCAGTAGCGGTCGGCCTCCGGCGGCTCCTTCTTCACCTCAAACTTCATCAGGTCAAAGTCGTTGACGTACTCGATGGCCAGAGGGCTGTTGGGCAGCTCTGCGCTCATGGCGAGGTCGGTGGCCATTTCAGTCCATGCGACGACTCCTGCCCTCACAGCCAAACCGACGGCGGGCAGCCCTCTCGGATACAGATTGCGAAGAGGAATAAAAGCCTGTATGGTGTATATATAGACACACGCACACGCCCGGTGCGTGGGGCTGCTGCAGGGCCGGCGGGTGGGTGGAGAAACTTTTTAAGGCTGCGCGTCCCTAAGACAACTTCTATATATAGTAGCGTGAATATACGTATGCATGTAAATGAACTTGTACACCTGCCAGTTCGCCTCCGCTCGCTGCTCTTGTTGACAACTTATCCCAGGTCAAATGCACGCTTTAATACCAGGAGCCCCCGGGGCGGCTGAAACTCGAGCCCGGTGAATTTGGAGACACCAACCTGTCTTGTCCTCGCTTCACCTCTGCAGCCTACTTGCCTCCTTGTGATTTAGTGTCCCTCGGTTCTGCTCGATCAAGTAACACGAAAAGGTTTCGTCTCCTCCTCTCGGTGCGTTATAAATATTTTCCAAGCATCCTTCTTCGCCTCCCGCTGTTTACAACTTGATCATGAAGTCCCAGGCAGCGGGCTGGAGTCACTGCAGCATGGCCCGGATACAAAGTTTCTCACACAATCAGCTCGGACGGTGTGTGACAGTCACAGGGCGGACGCGCAGGCGTGCGTAAAAGTGTGCCAAAAAGGTCCCCGGGAATCCAAAATGGAATGGCACGTGCAGAAGTTTTGAAAGTTCACATGCATCAGAGTTTAGTGCGGAGCTGCAGGTAGTGCTCCTGCTGGGAGGGACAGGAGAGTCTGGTCCCCTGGTGTTGTGGTCAGTCCAGAGATTTGATGCAAGCAGCGGATTACTGACAGTTTCGGTCCCCACGGTCCTGTCCCCCCTCACCGGGGCGCGCTGCTGACCTTACGTGTTGACTGTGTGTGTATTATTATGCAAGAGGTGATAAATTCCAGTTGCTTTTCTCTCTTAAGGCCCTCTAACTGTTTCTAAGAGCTCCACGGTGCAACCACGCAGTGTCACTGAGGCGCTGGAAGGCAATCCGCTCTTATAAAGACAGCGTGCCTCCCCCCGACCCTCCCACACAGAGGTGTGACGGGCCAATGGGAGGAGATCACAGCATAGCATTTGCATTCTCCCACAGCAGAGCCCTCCACTCCGGCCGAGTGGAGCCGAGCCGAGCCGAGCGCAGCCGGAAGCGAGCGAGGCGCGCAGGGAGAACAGGTGCAGCAGATCCCCCCCTCTAGTGACCGAGCAGGTGCTACTGCACGGCGGAGCGGAGTAAGACGAGAGCTCCGCTGCTTTCCCAGAGAAAAAAATGTTTACTCGGAACAGAGAAACAGTTTTCACCGTTTCCAAACTGTGTGTCAGTTGTGTAATCGGGCTGTCGGGCACGCGTTTGGATTTCACATGGGATTAAAATATCTTCCAGGTTGTTAATGTACACAGTTATCACCTTATAGGGACTTAAAGGAGAACAGATTTTAGACTCTTAGAGACTTTGCAATGATTTTCTGCATCATGAAGACATTTTAATATTTTAAAATTTAAACTTTTAATGTTTTTAAACTTTTAATCGCCACAATATTCAGAAGTGTTTGGAACTTTTCTGTCTTTGCACATTTAATATTTCATTTCTCCAATTAAGCAGCCGGTTACAGAAACCAGAGTGTTCTTAAAGCAGTAATGTTTGCTGATATTTTGTGACCAACCAATGCAATCAAATTTACACCTTTGGCCCCTAAAAAATGAACAATTGAGGTTAAACTGAAGTTATTTATCCAAATATGCTGAAGAATAAAATGAATATGACTGGTAGCTGTCAGTGTGCTTCCAGGAAGAACACATGAGAGGAACACATGTAGAGGAGGAAACACAGATAATACAGGATAACGTTAGAGTTAATTAATACAAATATACTTTTAGACTTAAATATGTATAAAAATAAGAGAGAGCAGTGTAAAGTATGGATACAGGTTCAAGTGTATTACTGTATAACACATACACAGTAACTCAGAAATAAAACACATTATTAACTTGATTAAAAACAGCTTATTGTATCTGCTTTACTCTCAGAGGAAGCCCGAGGATGCTTCTGACACCACAAACTACCAAATCTATCAATACTGATCGATGGAAGGCCGCGCGCCCCCTCTGCCAAAAATCAATGCGCATTTCCGCGAGGCTGCGAGGAGGCCGCGTGTGGCTGCGCGCGGGTTAAGTATGATTGGATAGTCCCGGCGGTGGTCTGCAGGGTTTTCATTTGCAATTAACCACAAATTGCATCCCGTCTCATCTCCGCGGATCGACGGATAATTAAGCCCCGCCGCACGGGTCTCCATTCTGGACGCATATGTCTCTTTTTCCTGCAGAGAGAGGCTTTCAGGAGGGGGGGTGAAGGAAATCAGAGAGGAGCAGGATGTCGATAGTATCATGTGAGCAGGACTTAAACCGGGACACCGCCTCACCTGACCCGTTTAGCCCTTTCAGCAGCGGCAGCCCCCCGGAGTCCCATCCAGCCACCGATATGTGAGTGATATATGTGCGGGATAAAGTGCCTATCTGCGGGAAAAACAGGTGGCAGTAAGTTTAACTTGGTCAGATGTGAACGGGAAAACCTTGCGCAGCTGCTGAGCTTAACTTCCAGTCCGAAATGGCCATGAAATACGCCCCCCCCCCATTCCCTCAAATCTGCTGGCGAGGATGAAAAGAAGAGTATGAGATGAAGGGACGGAAATCATATCAAGGTATTTTAAGTTTAGGTGCGCTAAGTCATTAGGAGAGGGTTTTTTTTTTATCAAATAAGCAGGAGCTGGCCCTCAAACGCAAAGCTAAGCAGTCTGCATTGAAATGGCACATTTAAGAAGATCTGCTGTGGTCCATTCATTGTCAGGGGAAGGGGAGTGTCTGCGGCCGAGGGCTTGAGACATAAATTTTTGAAGTCAGGGTTTTCATTGTGCCTTTGCATATTGGGACTTCGCTGCAAGTGCAGTTCTTCCGATTTAAGCAAAACGGACATCAGCAAGGTGGAGGATCGACAGTGGTCTTTTGAGTCGGCCGCCAGGCGAGCTTTGAGCCAAGGTAGCCAGCATCCAGACCAAAGAGAGCGGCTCCAGGAGGTGGCTCAGGGTTATCTGAGGCCTGGAGGTTTTTGTCACCGCCGTTAAGCCACTAATGCTGCTGTGGAGGAATCAGCTTTAATTGTGCGGGGATGTGACACGCACGCATGTGCGCGGACACTGAAGTTAACAGGGAGGCTTACTTTAGAAATCAGGACTTTCACCACATGTAGGAGGCCCCGCGTGTATAGAAATCATGTTTGTTCACCAGAGTGATAAAAGGTTTTTGGTCTCAAAGCAGCAGTCGTTTAGACTACCACTTCTTTTGGTGGGACTCACCCAAGTAATTGCTGAGATCTGGGAACAGGGTGACATTGCTAACAGTACGTGAAACCATCACAGACTGGACAAACCAAACATGAGGATTCCAGCGACATACACAAATTTTGTCTTGACTGTCAGTGAGGAACACACAGCGGACAACTGAGTAAATAGAGACAACACACTGGGCGATGACTACTGAAACACAAGAGCTCATTCATTAATACGAGCCGCTTTTATACTGAAGTCCACTCAGAACGGGAAAGAAATATGTTAAGATGCAGAGTGAGGTGGACTTCAGGTGACTGTGGCTCTGTGTTAGAAATGAATAGATACTCTTTCATCTGTGGTAGGGATGCACTACAGATACCAGCATCGGGTCCCATAACTATAGCTCATGTACACTAATTACTACTCCGATACCACTTTAGAGCAGCGTAACCTCGTTAGTTGAGCAGGTAGGTGGAGGAGAAGCAATGTCAGCAGTTTGGAGGTATTTTAAGCAGCTTTTACAACATTAACAAGATTTAGTTTCTCAAAGTCAGAAGGTGTGGAACATCTGATGAACATAAAACATGTTTTCAAAGTCATTAGAACGGCAACGATATTATTCAGTACTCAGTATCAGCAAATACCCCAAAGTAAGTGCTTGTTATTATTTGGTCCAAAAGGTGGTATAGGTGCATCCCTACTCTGTGGTAATCAGGAGGTTCTGAAGAAATCCTGGTGGGCCACTACTGTTCCAGGCCAATGTGAGTTAACCTGCCTGTGGACTGAGTTGACACAACTTCTAACCACATTTTCTGCAGGTTTTAGATTAAATTTAAGACTTTTTAAGACCTATTTTATGTCCATACCGGTAAAAACGTACAAAGGATAAAAAGGAAAACCGGTTTTGATTCCATGTTTCTTTCATTTTGTAGTTGTTGGTTGTTTGTCAGGATTATCTTGAGGTTGCAACCAACCAGAGACCAATTACAAGTTACAGTGATTTTTTTAGAAAAGTGTCCTTTAGTTGTCTTCAACTTATCAGTCGATTGTGTCTAGTACAGGATGGTTTAATTGTTTGCAGTCTTAACTGCCCAGAGCGAGTCCCACTCTGCCCCTGATCAGAAGACAACTGGAATCCTTCTACGTTGTATGAGTTTAGCTCCCGACGGTCAACACCAACTGACATAGACTGAAACAACTTGGTCAGATCAGTCATCACATCAACAACTCGTAACTATTATCAGCCCATCACTCAGAAGGTGTGTCAGCAGTCAGACAGGTTGTAAACGAACAGTATAGTCAGATCATCTAAACCACTTTAATGGAGGTCGAACTGAAGGTGAAATCCTAATCCCTCATTGCAAAGACAAACTGTGTGCATACATTAGGACTGCAGCTAACCATTATGTTCATTATCGATTAATCAATTGGTTGTTTGGTCCATAAAATGGTGAAAAATGGCAATCATTGTTGATGAAAACCCAAACTGACATTCTCAACAACCCCAAAGATATTCAGTTTACTGTCTTAGAGGATGAAAGAAACCGCTAAATATTGGACGTGTTTAAAAAAAAAAAAGACTGCTTGTAAATGGGGCCCTGCTTTTAACTAAAGTTTTACTTTTTTTACTTTAAGTTTGTCTTTTGTTTTTACTGTGCACTGGCAGCCAAACAACCTTCCCCACTGATGATTAGTAAAGTCTATCTATGAAAATAAGGTCCAACTGGTAATAAACTGGAAAGATCCCTCAAAGGAAGTAAAGCTCAAAAGGCAAAACCTCGTACGACACATGTACCACAAACACACACGCAATCCAGTTCTTATCAACTCTCCAACACACACACTCTCACACAAACACACACGATGAAGAATCACAGTTGACCTTTCTTTTTGTCTGTGCGAGTCTCCGCGGACAGATGATTTCTCTCCCTCCGTCTTCTCTCCGTCTCGTGCGCTTTTACTAAAAATTGAAATATTGATCTTAATTAGAGTTTGCCGAGCTCAGCAGCTCGCGTTGAGGGTTTTAGACAAGAGGCAGCAGACATCTGTCTAAGGCACTTACGTCTTCAGCGCAGGAGAGGAGCGACGTGGGTGAGGAGGAGGAGGAGGAAGGGGAAAAAAATCGTGTGGTGAGAAGAGAAGAGTGATGGCTCCCTGTCTCCTGCCTTTTCTGAGAAACATGTCGAGCTCTCCGTCTCCGGTCGCTGCTGTCAATACATCTGAGAGAAAATCGAGCCGAACACACACACACACACACACACACACACACTTCAAATATATCCATCCTCACAAAAAATATTCAACATCGTTTAACTGGCAGCATGTGACGATCTGTACATGAACTCAAGTTTTCCAAGTTCCAATCATCAACCGGCTGATCTCTCCTTCGCTTGAGGTCAGGTTCACAGTAATGCCGATACATTTAGAAACGCACACACAAGCATTTTTAATCTTCAAAATGAGCTCTTCTAAAAGCTAGTGAGACCGGATACTTCCTAAAGTCCCATACAGCAGTGGGAATAGGGAAAACTACGATTTTCTGGGCAAAAATGTGCGACTGTTCAGCTGAGTACTGACACTGTAGAGCCAACTTTATCACCTCTGTGATCTCATCCTGTATCACTACAGCTGATCCCACTAGCAAGGCGTAGCCACAGACGAACAGTATCATTAAAGGAAGAGTTGAACATTTTGGGAAATACATTTAGTACAGAGGACATGAGTAACCTAGCTTAGCATAGAGACTGGACAAGCAGGGGCAAACAGCTAGCCTGGCTGTCAAAGGTGAGGAAATAGACTCAAAAAAAGAAATAAAATAAAGCTCAAAAATGAACTCTACACAAACAGAAATGTAAATGTTTTAGGGGAGCTATGTGGTGGAACTATTTCTTGAGGTTGCCAGGTTTGGTGCCATCGTGGCCTCTACGGAGACTGTCTGTATCTGGCAACAATAGTAGATGAACTGTTAATGAGTTAGCTCAGCTGGTAGAGCATGTGCCCCACGTATCAAAGCTCAGTCCTGACCACAGCGGCCGGGGTTCAATTCAATTCCACCCCCCCTCCCTGTCATATCTTCATCTGTCGCTATAAAATAAAGGCATAAAAACACCCAAAAATATGAAAAGAAGTAGTCCCCGTTTTTTGAACGTCTGTACATAAACTTTATGTGCAGAAACACTGCGCTCCAGATGGTGGCCATTATGGAAAGTCTCCTGTTTGCCAACCAAAAGAGAAAGAAGAAAAAGAAGAAAGTTTTTACATTGTCTATGCCTTTCACAAAAAATATCACAAAAACAAATTCACACAAACAAACTGAACAATCCCTGATCAGAAGGAGGTAAACCATGTTTTTCTATGCATTAGTGTGAACATAAGGCTGAGAAATCAACATCATTAACAGATAACACACACAGGCACACACACTCAGTCTCTTTAATCTGCTGTCGGCCCCCTGTGTGTCACACTGCTTGTTTAACGCCTCAGTTAGAAAGCGTGGTAATGTTGTAAATATGAGGCTCTGCACTCACACAAACACACTCTCACTTACACACACACACTCTCACACACACAGTGTATTAGCAGAGGTCTGGACTCTGCAGAGCGGTGGATGAGTTTCTCGTCTCAGGATCCGGTGTCCCTCTCAGACACATATGAAGAAATGAAGAGAAATAAATAATAATAAAGACAAAAGGATGGAGGTAAGTCTGGTGAAGGTGGTGTTCTAAAGCCATGTTGTCTTTTAAAACACTGTCTTCATTGGCTTAAAGCAGTGTGCGATAGCAAATATTTTCCAATTGCTATATGCTAATTAGTTAGCTCCCACTAAGTCCACCCCCCCTACCCCAAGGAATTTTGTTTTGCAATAGTATGAAAAAAAAAAATTTCAAATGTACCCACACTGAAAACTTCAGTGTCAGGGAGGCAAATGATGTCAGACTGGATTTATTTTTCTAGGAGAGGAAGTTGTTTCTGATCTGATAGACAGAAACATGGCTCATCAACATCTAAGCCTATTTGAGAACCAATACTCGAATGTGCTGTTGTAATGTCAGCTACTGGTATCGTCTTCTAACTGCAGAATGACCAAATGACCATGTCTACTACAGATCATATCCTGTAGTTAAAAGCCCGTCAAACGATGAATTACTGAGGAGCACGTGGAATATTTTATTTCTTGTTAATGGAAGAAGAGAGAAGTATGTGCTTTTAAATGTACTGTACACTTTAACAATGTTAAAACTATAGTAGTTTTAATACAAAGCAAAAGAGAGACTAATTTCTGTGTGCATGCATTCTCTCAACACACACACACACACACACACACACACTTGCAGCACTGTGAGCATGAAGTCAGTCCACTCATGTGTCTTCTCTGCAGGCTTTAAAGTGAGGGGCACTGCTGCTTCTGTCACCACCTTCCCAGTGAAAACTCTCACAAACACGCTCGGGTCATGTGACAACACGGCCGCTCCCAAACAGAAACACACTCGCAGCCTATAAACACTCTCACGGCACTGACTTCACATGTCAAAAAGAGTCTGAGAAACGGCACAAAAGGTTCATATTTTATTTGTCCTTTTAAAATATACAAAGCCTGATGAGAAAATCTGTATTGCAAACACCCAAATTGATATGTAAACAGATTTATATAGAAAATTAAAACTTTCAGGCCCTGAGTGATAAAATGCAGAGGGAAGAGACACAGACACACCTGTCAGGACAAACCTGGAGCACAGAAATAACTGATAAGCGTTTTTTCCTTCCAGGGCTGCTGGTTTCTGTAGTCTCACAGCCGAGGCTTGATCTGCAGTTTTTTCTCTGCGGAAGAAAAACAGGGAATTTAAATGAAAAGATGAGTATTGGCAGAAATGAAATGACAAAAAGACAAAGGTGTCTGTGTGTGTGTGTGAGTGTTCGCTCATGTGTAACTGACTCAGAGCTACTGTGTGTTGTCCCGCTGAAATGCTGAGTGATGACATCTCAACTGATGAGTAAATGAGGAAGAGAACGGGACAACAGGGATGGATGAAGGTGTGTGTACAGGAAGTGTGTGTGTCTGTGTGTGTCTGTGTGTGTCTGTGTGTGTGAGGTCGCAGTCTGGCAGTGATACATTGCGTCTGAGCTAATTTATGCAAAGTGAAGAGGAGCTTGTTTGGCGGAGTTCCACCTTTAATGAGGCTCTGGGTGGTGCAGCGTCATTAGTAATACTTAAGAGCACAAACCGACTGGACGGAGCAGGCGGAGGGGGCGATGAAATGATTACTGGTTCACCTGTGTGTGTTTGTGAGTATGTCTCTAGAGAAGTGGATCTGGACCTCATTGGTGTCATTGATACACTTCAGGGCACGGACCCATGTTTGAGAAGATGTAGTCCAAGGATTCAGCCTGAGAAGGACTTTTGCCTTTATTTGTGCCTTTATTTAAGGAAAGATGGGAAATGGGGGGCGAGAAAGAGATCGAACCCAGGCCGTTGCGGTAAAGACTTTTTTTGGGGACCCCATTGAACTCCCTTCAAGGACGCCAGGTTGAGACCTGACCTAGAGTCTGTAGGGCTGCAACTAGCTTTTGTTTATTCGTTCACAAAATGTTAGAAAACAATAAAACAAGTTCCCGGAATTCAACATGACATCTTCAAATTACTACAAAGATATTCAATTTACAATGAAGACAATAACCGAAAAGCAGCAAATCCCCCACAGCTGGAACCAGACACTGTTTGGCATTTGTGCTTGACATGTGACTCAAATAACTGATCTGTTATTATCAGCATTGTTTAGTTTCCTGTTGATTGAGTCCATCGCAGAGCAAAGACACACGTGGCCAAAAGAATTCACAACTGACAAAATGGCAAGTTGGAGTTTCTAACTGTCCTGACATAAAGCACTGTTTACAATGTCCCACAATCCCAAGCTCCAGTGACAGGAGACACTTTCTAGACATAAAAAATGCAGTAGTCAGTTTGTGTCTGCAGTAAAGTTGTCTAAAAGGTAAGGTTTATATGAGCTTGGGTGCGATTAGTAATTCACACCAAATGCTGTTGATTTCAAATTGTATTCCTGGTTAACAACCACTCAAACTTCCTCTGGTTGTGTCAGCTCTTGGCTACATGCACTCATTTATTTACATACTTTGTATTTTTGCAAACAACTTCCAAGTTTAACACCTCACCAACAGTTTTAACATTTATCTCCTTTTTCAAGTGTATTGCAGTCCTAGAAAGTTAGTCTACAACTTTCCAAGGACCCGACAGACACTACTGCACCTAACTTTAGAGGATCTGGATGTGAGCAAATTGTCCTTCCATACTTACTGGGTTTTTATATATATATATATATATATATATATATATGTATGGTGTCCATATTTATATCGTTTGACTATGGAAATGTTACACATTACAGAAAAAGGAACCAAACTGGACTGAGAAGAAGAGACTTCTGTCAATAGAGGTGTCGACAAGGTCCAGAAGACTATCGAGACCTCAAGGATGTTCTGGCAAACTGTCAGATGACTCAAGAAGAAAAGGCAAGGCTTGGCTCAGGCTGTACAAGGGAAATTGATGAGCAGTGGAAAGAACACTTGGAGAAAGTCCTGAACCCAACCAACACATCCTGTTGTTGTCCAGCTCATTACTAGAGGAGTCATGGGAGTTTGCCCATCCAGTCTGGACTTGGAGAACTGAGCCTGAGTCTCATGGGGAGTCGTGTGAGGGGTACTGTGGGAGAGTGGTACATTACTACGAGCCATCCATTCCTTAGGTAACCAGAATGAGAGCTTGGGATTCTCGGCAGGGACTCAAACATGTTTTCAGTGTGCGCTTGGCTCCACCAGGGTTGTTTCCCGTCACTGATTCTGTTTCTGATTTTCATGGAGAGGATCTCAGGACGCAGCCGGTGGGACGAGAGTGTCCGGTTGGAGGACCACAGAATTACGTCCTTGCTCTTTGATGATGATGTGGTTATGTTGGCTTCATCCGACCGTGACATCCAGCACACGCAGGAGTGGTCGGGATGAGAGTCAGCACCTCCAAATCAATATTAGATTTTCTCTTTATAATTTATCTAGGAGCTGGTTAGGTTTGGGAAACCCCTGGATATGTTAAGTCAAGAATGAAATATAGGACATTATAGTATCATTTTACAAGTGGATTTAGTCTTAAAAACATCAGCTATGACTGGAACAACTCATTGGCAGAAATCGGCACAAAAGAAAATCGACCCAAATCTCAGAGTAATGACTAACTGCAGAGATCAAGCTGTCAAGATGAGTTTGATGATCCATGTTCAGCTTTTCCACTGAAGCAGATATAACAGATCTGTTGTCTCTCAGCAGTTGCAGTCTCTTGGGACCTTTTCATTTTGTTTGTCAATGAAAACCACCTCTGCCACCTCTTTAGCAAAGATAAAATGCAATCCTATTTTCATGAGCCCTGGAGAAAACCTGAGGACCAGACCTTATTTATTTAAGGACATTAAAGACAAAATTCTACAGATTTTAAAAGAACATTCAAGGAAAAGTGCTACCATATGATCATATTAGTCATTGAATCAGGTGAAAATATAGTAATTATTTTGTTTTAAAATCAGTCAAATGAGACAGAAAATTAGAACATTTTAGGTAATGCGCTGCTTGGTAAAACTGGAATGTTGCTTTGCAGTGTCAGCCAGCATGCATGTGTGTGTCCAGCAGGTGGATGGTCAAGCCGGGTGGGAGGAGGAGGAGGATGGGGGAGGAAGTTGGAGGGGGGAAGGCAGCCTCTCTCCTAATCCTCTATCTGTCAAGTCTGTCAACAGAGAGCTCAGCTGTGCCTCCGTCCAGCCCAAAACCTAAATATTATTACCTCTGTCCTCTGAGCATTATTAATCCTCCCCAGAGCATAATCACACTCACTCTACAGCCAAGCTCTGATCATCATTATCTGTCTGCGGCCCAGACCAACCACCACTCCCCCTTCTCATTCATTCTTGCATGATCCTGTGGCTTTCATGACAAACACGATCCTTCCACAAAACATCTCTGGACAGTCAGCACTTTAAGATACATAGATCGATCTTAAGATACATTCTATGTTTCACAACCTGAATGTCATTTTCCTTGTCTTTCCCAAATATTTTACTTGCCATATCCGGATATATGGAGTCAAGACAAGACAAGGGCAGAAATAATAAATAAAATGCTTATTTGGATGTGAAAGTGGAATTGAATGCTTTTCTAATGTCAGTAATAATCCCTGAAGGTCACAAAATAAGTGTGTGAACAACCATAGTAAGTACGTGGGTAAAAAGCCAGCAATTAGATGAGATAAAAAAGTTAGTTTTTTGTTTGTGAAAAAATAACTGAATGCTTCATGGACACTTTAACTGGTCAGTGGTCTCTTATGGTCGCAGGCTGTGGTCTTTTCATGTCATAGAGTTTTGTTTTGTGTAAACGCTGGGACACTCTGGGTGCTTTAGGTGTGTTGATAATATTTTTGTACCTTTAACCTGTGAGGTCTCAGTCTGCAGTGTGTCCGGTGCGTCTGCCTCCTCTGGGGAGCTGGAGAGGGAGATGAAGGATGGCAGCGCCAGAGGACCTTCGATGGGTGTCTGTGGAGCTGCTTGAGAGACCTGCGGGATGACAACAGACAGGCAGGGCCTAGAAGAGAAGAAAAATGTTAAAAGGTAAAAAAGGCTTTAGATGATGATTCTTGTTGGTTAGGAGTGAGCTCGGTACAATATGCTTCCCTGACCTCTTGGAGGGCTCCTTCGTTCGGGCTCTCTTGGCTGGGGTGGTGGAGGTGCTGCTGGTGCTTCGTTTGGCTCGTTGGCGGTGCTGCAGCTTACAGCGGACTCCTCGAGGGCAGGATCCCGTCTTAGAGAAGTCTGGACACACCAGAGTGTGTTTCTTCTTACACTGGTGGTTAGAGACAGGGAGATATAAACACAAACCCACATGCTTCACTTGTAACAGCTAACACAAAGAAAATCTGAAAAAACTGCTGATGCTGCTGATTCAGAAAAAGTCAAACTGAAAATAAACCCTTAAACTACAGCTTAAAAAAATAACCAAGTAGTTCACATAAGTGGTTGATGTATTACAGGTAGCTGATTCAACACCTCAAACACAGTAAATGAACTTCACACAAACTGTGGCTGCTATTCATAAACTAATCTAATTCAGAGATGCATGATCGGGTATGAGGGGAACTCCTGAGCAAAGGAAAACAAGGTTGAAATACATTTTTGTTTTCTGGCAGACAAATATATTTAGGAGTTTACTGAGTGCTATGAAGCCATTTTATAGGACCAGCTAACCAACAAACCAACTAAACAATATTTCCTCATGATCATAGTAGCCCTTTCCAAATGAACTAATTCAAAATTGGTTTCATGACAACACGAGTTTAGCATTTTTTAGGTCCACTAAAGTCACAGATCTAAACATTAAACCTTTAGGGGAAGCTTTAGAGTAGAAAATCTTATATTTTTCATTCCCTCTTGTGTGACAGTGTGTGAAATAAGCAAAAGGAGGACTTATCCTGATTAGGTACTTTATTTTGTTTTATTATTTCATCCATCCTCTTGTGAGTTAATACTTTTGTAGTTGTAAACAACCCCCAAATTTAATCAGACTGTCTAAACTGCTTATTTGGAAGTGAAAGTGGAAGTGAATGCCTTCATAATGTCAGTAATAATCCCTAATGCACAGAAAATGAGTGTGCAAACAACCACGAGTTAAAGTTGAAGTAAGACGTCTGCAAAAGGGAATAGATGTTTACAGCGGACAGGTGTTTACAGACAGAACGCACTTTATGGAAACTTTAACGTTCGATCACGTTTAGTCACACAAATGAAGTTGGTGAGTAAAATGTTATAATCAATAAGGAAAGGAAAGAGTCTCATTTCTTTAACATGCAAGTTGAGCAAGTGGGTTACAGTCAGCGTCATTCTGGGAAGCATTGTGCATGAGAAAGTGAGCTTTCACATGCATGTTTGCAACTAAGTGTGTATGACAGTGTAATACGGGTGTAAATTGGTAGCTTCATTCTCCACGAGATCCGATCCCTCCCACCTGTCAGAAAAGCTAATTATATTCACTCTGGGGTACAGGCTGCGAGGAGTGTGTGTCTGTGTGTGTATAGGGGTGAGGAGTGCGGGACCGGGAAGCAGATTGGTCCAGAAATAGAGTGTGTATCGGAGGGATGTGTGTGTGTGTGTGTGTGTGTGTGTGATTGTGTGGACGTGAGAGGGATGTTGAGATCAATTTTCCAGGACACTATGGTCAACTCTCTCTGGAGTACAGCAGACCTGACTTGGTGCCATCACACCCATGTTCCCGCACCCCTGGGTGCCAGGGCGGCCCAGGGTCAGCTTGCTGTCAAATGTTTCTCTAGATCATCTTATAGGGCTGCGGTTTCGACACCACATTTCGCTCAACAAATCAGGTCTGCTGCTGGTGTCAGTGATCATTCATCGTTTTATATTTGGTGTCTGACATCACTGCTGAGCCGGGTCACGGTCAGGTCTTGGTTGTGCTGAGAAATACACTAATATTTATCATTTATTGCCCTGATGTTGTGAATTGTAATGAATGATTTAAGGGCTGCAGCTTAAGATTTTTATTTTATGATCATGAATTTAATTATTCTCAGTTATTTTCTTTTCAATCTACGCTACAGTGATCCACAATTAATACAACTTCACATTTGGAGCCCTGACTGTGGTGCATCAAACTGAACCTTTCTTATCAACAAGTAAACTGCCTGACCGAATATAGGCATCTCTTGAGCTGCAAAAATTAGGCAATTAATCCATTATATGTCAACTATTTTACTAAACGCTTAATCGTTTTTTTGTTTCTAGTCAAGAAAAAATGTCTACATTTTCTGGTTTCAGTTTCTCAAATCTGAATATTATCTGGTTTCTCTGATCCTCTATGACAGTAACCTGAATATGTCACCCGGGGTTTTGTGAAACTGTGATCAACATTTTATAGCCCAACAACTAATCTATTAATCGAGAAAATGATAGACAGATTAATTGATAATAAAAAGAATCGTTAGTTGCAGCCCTAGACATTTCAAACACTCTCTGATTACATAACTGTGGCTGTTGACCTCAGCATTTTATCACAAAGGCAATCCAGAATCGTTACTCCATTTTCTATGGAAGGATTAACCCTCTATTTAGATTGCAAGTTAACGAGGTGTTCTTATTATGAACATTTAACACTGATACATTGATTTGACATAAAAAAATATTTTTTATGTTTAACAAAAACTTTGATTGCATCCTGTCAAAGATGGATGTGTAGTTGTGGTGACTTAAATAGTGAGCAGAATTCTTATGATAACCCTTATAGCCATAATCGTGCAGACCACATCCAGTGGTCCAATGTGATGTGTAACAAGTGCACAGTATTAATTGTAACTTTGCAAACCTAAACAGATATTTTTTATATATAATATATAGTAACATCAGGAGTGCTTATACCTCCAAACTTACAGCTAATGCACAAACCTAAAATGTTTAATGCGGCTGTGCCAAATTAAAAATGTGATATTTTCTAAAAATGTGCCAACTCTCCCAGATGTCCAGAGACAAGTGTGACGGGACAACAGGAGTTAACAAAGCTGAGGCACTTTCTGTGAAAGTGAAGGAGAAATTAACTGTAAAAGCTCAGTCCACTCCCCACAGCTCCATACATCCTCATTTTCATAAAAAGATAGAGACAGAAAGAAAGAGAGAGAGAGAGAGACAGCAAGCTGGGAAATGGGAGAAAAAAGCTAAAGTGGACAGAACATCTTTATCCCACACCAAGTTAACAATTTTCCACTTGATTTAAGGAATGCTGGGATGTCTCTGGGGCCTATTAGAGAGCTCTCTGCTGGGCCAAAACCAGGAGGAGTCAGCACATTTACCAAGAGACTGAGAGAATGAGCAAAAGAAGCAAGAAAGAAAGAGAGAGGGAGGGAGGGCAGGAGATGGAAAAGACAGTAAAATAAAAAAAAGGGACATCACACGCATTTACATCTTGGGCATTAAGCCAACGCTCTTGTCTAGAGCAACTTACAGTGAGTAGAACGGAACAATAAATGAGCTCAGGTTGTTCGGGTATTAACATAGAGAGGGTAATATTAAGAAAATGAAAGCTCAAGCTGTCACTAGATCTTAGGTCGCGTTCAGGCCGACAGTAGCACTGCATCAAAAGCAGCCTCCCCCATTCATTTCAATGAGTGCGTTAATGCAGTGGGGATGGGACTGAGTCCAGGAATTTTTGCTCAACTTTTGCTGCAATGCGAGGCAACATCATCAGGGAACGCGCAAAATGGACAATCAAATATGTGTTGACCTGACGATGGTCCCGATGGAGGGACGGTGAAGAACCACTGGGAGGAAACAGATCTCGCAACGTCACTTTCACCACTTCGAGCTCATCGCCGTGTCAGTGCTTGTAAGCTAGCAAGTATCATGCTCATCAGAAAACAAGTAAGCAACCTGTGACTTTCTCAAATGATTTATTTGACGTTGTAGCAAGCAGAGTGCGTTATTTCGATTTTCGGATCTGAATGTGGCCTAAAGTGTAACACACAGCGACAGCGCTGCAGAGAGACATCTGTAAAGACACCGGATGCGTCCTACAGGCAGGAAAAGTGGAACTGTAGCCAGACAAATGTCCTGGTTTTCTGAAGATGCCAATGATGGCAAAGAATAGGGGCCTATCCTGTAATGATGCAGGTCAAGATGCTGATATTTTTTTTAAAGAAATCTTCGGGTGTAAAACAGAAAAGTGCAAGTTAATCAGATGCATTTTCACTGAGGGCTAACTGACAGCCCTCAGCCTTCTGTTGAAAGCTGAACTTGAACACCTGACAAAGATTGGAGCCAACTCTGCCAGCAGGCACGTACTCTATGTTTTGCATATGCATAGCAGGAGTAACTCTCAGTAGTTACGTGCATGTGTGCATGTGCAGAGAGACAAACAATGAAAACTAGCCAAACATTTCCACAACACTGAAATAGTTTTTAACTTCTTTGTAATACGCTTGGAACACAAACGGAGAATATACTTAGACGGCATTGTAAAGTCCTGGTTTAAAGTGAGAAATAAATAGAAAGGGGCAAAATCTCACATTCATTAGGCTAAACAGCCGATCAGACAGCCCTCTGTCAATGTCTGCAGCTGAAATGGTTTCAACACGCTGAATCAGCCGAATGGACGTTGATAAGAGCCAATAAGAGATTACTATAGCCAAACCTGTCAACTGACAGTTGGCCACAGACGCTCAGTGACACCTGATGGCCGACTGCCGGCCTGACGTGTGAGGAACCTGGGAGAAAATGCAGAAAGTAATTAAAAACTGCTAAAAAATGATGCTGCGGAGAAAAGAAACGAGAGGGACAATTAGGGAGGCACAGACAGATCCTACGAGGTGGAGGGTGAGCGTGAGACAAAGCCAGGATGAGGCAGGATGGAGGCGAGGAGCAGACTTAACCCCTGAGCTGCTGGAGTGTCTGCCTGCCTGGCCCATAGTGCCATCCTCAGCAGTTTTCCCATCTATAATTACTGCCTGCTATCCATCATAGAGCCACCAGAGCCTCACAGCGCAGCGCTCCATAAACACACACGCACTCAGGCACAAACACACACAAACACATGCACACACACAGGGGGAAAATCACAGACCTAAGCACTTCAGCTAATAGAATAAATATTAATATCCCTTTTGTTTTCTATATCCTCATTTTACCATGCACTATTTAAATGAGGTCTGACAGTGTGAAAAAGCATCTGTTTCACACTCGACGCTCAAAAACAAGCAGGGGAGAGGAGGAGAGAGGGGGAGACGGGGGAGACAAAGGGAGGCAAAAACAAGAGGGGGGAGGAGAGGAGTGGAGTGGTGTGTTTGAGGTGGATGTGGGTACAGAGTGTGAGGGGGACTCGGGTGTCTCGAGTCATCTGTAGGTGGCTCTCTGTTACCCATCAGGCCCACAATGTGTCACTCAGACACTACAGTTATGCCATTATGGACCGCCACCCCCTGCAGCTGTTCCTGCCTGTGTGTCACTGTGTACATGTCTGTGTATGCGCAGGAGGGGATTGGTTACCAAACTACTTGTTTACCTAAGCCTCAGTTTAACTTCAGTGGAACTGTATACATGTTGTACAATATAATTATACTTTCAAATGGAGAACACAGCTTAGATAAAGAACTTTACAGTCCAGTAATGTCGTCAACGCAGCGCTGAATAAAGAATCTAGTGAGATCAAAACAACATGAAGTCCAAAAGACAGAACGGTCAAAACACTGACGTCTCTTGTTTCAGTTCTTCCAGTCAGACACAGTGATACTGGTTAAAGCTGTGTGGACAGTCTACAGGGTTCCCACTCTTTAAGAAGTCATTTTCCAGTGTTTTTTCTTTTTTTTTGACAATACAGGACAGGACTTGTTCACTACAGTGGTCAGTGTTTATGGGACGCTCAAAGCGCTTGGCTGCTTTCACCACAGCCGATTTCTCTGCTGTGGTCTATTCATCTTCTGACCTTTTAGCCTATTAAAAAAAAAGGTATAAAGTGTTCATTGCATATACAATAAACATTGCCATGCATGCATTTATCGTCCACAACAATAAACGTATATTTGATCTTTAATAGGCTGTATGTGTGTAGATTTGACCGTCTACATGCATGCGTTTAGACCTGATGCCAAAGGTTCACTGCAAGTCTCCTGTCTTACATGGTAACCAGAATGAAAAGGGAGCATTTTTCAGTTACGCTTTGCATCTGATAAACTTGTTTAAAGTGTCTGCGTAGCTTATCCTACCAACAGTCGAGTTCTAAAGACAGTTCTAAAAAAAAAACAGATTATTTCCAGGATATCTGGTCATTTTAATCAATTTCCAGGTGTTTCCATGACTGGAAAACTATTATCTTAATTTCCAGGTTTTCCATCTGAATGTGGTGTCACACATCACACCAGTATTCACAACCCTCATCTGACCCAGGCTGAACCCTGCTCAGATGCTGCCTGCCTTTGTTGAACAGGTGTCTATACTTGGGGTAGACTTCATCTGAAGAGTTTCATGCTTAAAGGCCTCCTCCACTCAAAAATCAGTGTTTCTTATTGTTCCTGCAGTGTCATGTTTGAATAATGTCTGTGCAGAGTTTGACACT